TCTGGTTTCATTCCTTCCATATCTATAATTTTATCCTTATTCAATGCAAAAATATTTAAAAGAAATAAAATCCTTCAAAATAAATACAAATTTACCCTATTTTTACCATTTTTCAAATTAATTTGAACCTTAAAAAGGAATAAGAAGGTATCAAATTCCCATTATCCTATTCTATTATCTATAATTAAACCTGGACTCCTCTGGGTATATGTTTTACTTAAATGGAACCATGGACGTGTCTGAAAATACTCCCCCAGTATTTACTTTAGCATTAATTATATTTTCTCTAGCCCATACTAATAGTGCCACATTTTTCCCGATAGTGAACTGCTCTAACATGTAACTGATGTACCGTCGTCTCAGTACTTGTTAATCTGTCATAGAAATGGTCTTACAATATATATTATATCAATATGTCACTTTAAAATTTTAAGTCAAGTCAACAATCTTTGTGCTTTACGCTAAAAATCGGCCATTGTAGAGAAATGAACATGAAAATGTCCAGCTCTGTTCGGAAAAATATAATTGTTTCATTAATGCAGTCGTGAGTTTTAGTATGAATTCAGAATGTAAAGTCTATACAATAATATGTCTATCAATATTGCCAAGGCAATGAAAAATTGACATATTTAAGTGACGCTATACAATGATGAGAATGTTGAACACAAATTGCTTAAACTGGGTTTAATTAATTACAGCTTAAAGAGGGAATTGGAACTGAGTAAGACCTACAAGCAAACAAGGGTAAAAGGAAAAGTAACTGAATAATTTAATCCTTTTCCCTTTAGCAAATCCTTACACCACGCTGTATTTCAATATGTTTATATATATAACACTATAGTTTCATGAACTTCGACAATAAGTTACCGTTTAATGCAGCATACATATATTAGATAGAAAAAATGTTCGGTAGCAAAAATGAAGCTTGTACGTACAGACAATAATAAGAAATTACTCAGACAACTCTAACTGCAAAAATACAACAACGTATAAACTTTACAATTAAAATAAAATGCCATACTCAAAACATTTATAGTAAAGTAACAAATAAATAAATCAGATAGTTACATACCACAACATGCAGCCGATATACGCTGGATAGATATTTTCTGACGTAAATATAATACTGCCCAATTTTATCTTTGAACGGTTACTTATACTCAAGGTAAATAAAAACTATTGGATAATATCAAATTAACCAATGAAATTGAAGATAGAAATCGAATGAATCCGATGCACAAACGGATTATATTACAAAAATATTTCAGATAACTTTAGATGAAACGAAAAATAGAAAGATCCCAAAAACGAATAAATATTAAAGAGATAAATAGTTAACCTGTTCAAATGATGAAAAAATAACCTGTTTTACCACACACACACACACACACCCTCACACACACCCTCACCCATCCACACACCCTCACACACACACACACAAAGAAAAAAAACCCCTCAAGACGAAAGTCTTTACTTCTGGGCGCCATATTGAAAAGGCGGCTCCAAGTATGTTCAAACAATGCATCCTTAAAAAATTGAAAATTTTTGGAGAATGTTGGTTTGATTATTGCACATAACTAAAAACACTATACTTATACCTTATACACGTATAATTGTGTAAACAATCACCAGGAAATAGATATATTTGTACTCTCTGGACTACTTCCAATTTCTGAAATGGACATTATTTACTATAATCCTCAAGTTATCGACACTGAAACGTATGGAACGCCAAATTAACATATATTCAAATATTTGAACCTATCTTCAAATAACTGTACCTATCTTCAAATAATTGAACCTATCTCCGAATGAATTGAAGATAGGTACACTTGAATTAAAGATAGGTACAATTGAATCAAAGATAGGTACAACTGAATTAAAGATAGGTTTAAATAAATACATACACCTATCTCTAAATGATTAAACCTAGGTTCAAATAAATTACACATCTTTAATGGAATTACACCTATCTTTAATTCAATTAAAGATAGGTTCAATTGAATTATATCTATCTTTAATTTATTTGAAGATAAGTCCAATTTATTTGAAGATAGGTACAATTTATTTGAAGATAGGTACAATTGAAACATATCCACAAAGGATTTAAAGATAAGTACAATTCAATTATACCTAGGTTCAATTCGTTTTGTGTTTTAGAAAATAATGAAAGCTCCCTTTAACAGCGACTTGAACATGGAGGGAACCAAACAAAGCATTTTATGGGGAGTAATTGTTATTGTCGGTGTCTTTATAATTAAAGATAGGTTCAATTCAATTGTACCTATCTTTAAATCAATTATACCTATCTTTCAAATGAATTAAAGATAGGTATAATTGAATTTAACCTATCTTTAATTCATTTAGAGATAGATACAATTCATTTGAAGATAGGTACAGTTGATTTGAAGATATGTTCAAATATTTGAATATATGTTAATTTGGCGTTCCATAGAAACGTGGATACGACTGTTTACTTTGTCAACAATGTCTTATCGTCGATAGGCTATGTCATGAAATAAAATTAACAGAAATGTTATCATTGACATTTTCAAGCAATTAATTGTGGAAAAGTAGATGAGGGGAACATACTATTCAGAGTGCGGGATTAAGATTATATATGGAAAAAAGTTTTACTAATAATCTACACAACTGACTTAAAACATTAACTTCACAGGGTATAAAATAGAGTTGTTTAAACAAATAATGTTAATTTTCATCAAATTTGATTCCAATAAAGCAATCATTGTTTTCTGTTGCGTATTTCACATTAAAACACCTGAAATGTTCAGATTAATGTAGTATCATTACGTATAGATTTTTTGCGCTTCGTTATTAGACCATGTAAAGACCTTTGGCCTTTGTAAAACTTCATAGAGAAATGAAGTCATTTGCTTAGACTTGCTCAAGTCTTTATGTTTTATTGCTCTTTTTAATACTTTTTGAAAAACATAGAGACTTGAACATGTCTACCATCTGCTTTCTGTATATTTATATAACAGAGAGATATCATGAATATACAAATACTTGTTGGAGTGGTTTATAGGAAATGGCATGATAAATTATTGTCAGCGGTTCGTTCTGTGTTTTTTGAAGAGAGACAACATTTTTAAAAATAACAAGAACTGTTCAGATTGTCCAATTTTGTTATTCAGTACGTTGTAGTCACTGTTGTGTTTGGATATTAAAAATATCTTTATAATTTCATTTTCTGAAATGTAATATTTCTTAAAATAATGTTTGTAAAATTGATTCAATAAATTTATTTGTGAAATCGCTTTATTTTTTATTGTCTAAAAAAGAATAATATAAATAATTGTAAAAAAAGATAATTTTAAGATAAATAAAGATATATATATATATATATAGGTCTATATTTAGGTCTAAATTTGAAGTCTTTCACCAAGTATGGTGACGTCTCTATATAAGTAAAATATTCTCGAAAGACGTAAAACAACAAATATACAATCAATCAATCAGTCAATCATTTACAATTCCCCAGTGTCAATAATTTTAGATTGGACTGTGTACATTGCAGAACGTTTGACTTTGCACCACAAAGAACAAAAGAAAACACATGTATTTGTTCCTGTCCGTAATATCAACTTCCAATCTAAACAATTTGATTTATCTATTGTACTATCCACAAATTGCGAATACTGACAGGTCATTTTAGAATTACATATAAACTCCCATTCAGAATTTTCTTTTAAGATAGAACATATAGAATATGTCATGTGGACAAGGAAAAATCCTAATAAATAAACCAAGTAAATATTAAATAATTTTGGGTTTTCGTATATTGAATAGAGCTATATGATGCTGTTGATGAAAAAAAAAAAATTGAAGTAAAAGATAAAATTTATGTCTTTTTATCATAAATGTAATAAATTGTTAGAAAACATTTTTATTACTTTTCTTTAAATATAGTTATGAACTATAAAAATGTTTCAATAGAATTTAAATAATTAAAAGGGAGTAATAACCTGATTATTGTAAGATAACCATTAAATTTTTTTAAACTATGCATTTTCAATTTGTATAGCTATAGCTCTTTTACCCCAGTCACTTGCCTTAAAGCATAAAATATTTAAAAAAAACCCAGAATTTTAGTTAAAAAGTACTTTAAAGAGTGCAATTCAAAAATCCCAAAACTTTGAGGATGCAAAATGTCTTTCGTGTATATTAATAACAGAACTTGGGAAATACATGATTTTCACAAAAGCAAAATTTTTTTAATAATCCTGAAGTTGCGAATGTAAATGTAATCATTTTTATGCCAGGGAGTAATTTCAATCTCTTTTATAGGCAAATCGTTTTTCTAACGCCTTACACATGTTCGGGAATGATGAAACTTTATTGGAAGCTACATATTTAATACAGCAAAATCTATTTAATAAAAGTATAATATAAAGTCACTTTAACATAGATATTGATACATACTTACTTTATACAGCAAAATCTATTAAATCAAAGTCTAACATAAAATCACTTAAGAACATACGCAATGTACATGTACACGTACCTTACAACGTACAAACCTACTGATAATTTTTTAAGATATTCTTAATTTAGAAATATAGTACCATCAGATGTTCATAGACAAAACATCAGCATACATAACTAGAGATATCAAATGATGAAATTCTTGTATTTTTCGAAGAAAAATTAACAAAAATATAGTTGTATGTTGTTTTTCTTTACAAGATTTAGAAGAGGTGTACAGCATCGTTAGGCATTATAATAGTCTCACATCAATTAGGAACTTTTAAATAATACAGGTAATAAGTAAATAAAGAAAGTACAAAATTTAACCCTGTTGCGTATTTTCTTAAACATAGATGTTGATACATTTCAGTATTTCCCCACTATTTGCAGTATATAACTAAACAGATCCATACACAAAGAGCCATATTCAGTAGGAGGACTAAATTGGAAATATGAAACACAAGATAACTTTTTTTCTTATTCTTTGAAACTTTGCAATGCAATCTCTCTCTCTCTCTCTCTCTCTCTCTCTCTCTCTCTCTCTCTCTCTTATAACTGACTACATCACTGTGATCATAGTACATTTCTTAGATAATTTCTTTCAACGTATTTCTTTATTTCTCCACTGCGGGCATATTTGATTATCTAAATTGAAAAAAAAGGATTTCCCTTATTTCACCATGCTGGTTGAAATTTGAAGGAAATATTTAGTTCCATTTGTCTTCATCATTTTTTATTAATGTGCTTACCAAGCTCATGATAAATTGATTTCACTGCATTTTGAAATATTTCATGATCTTGAGCAGTGGCAGAACTGGCTGTCGAGACAGGCGATGGAGTACTGTTAACACCTTTCTTCTTCTTTTTACCTGGCATTTTTATTGGAACAGATGATGGCTTAAAAGAAATAGTTTCCTCCTCAATAATTGCGGAAACAATGGTTCCAAAACTATTAATAATATCTTTGTCTAATGCCGCTGGAATAAATGCTGGAGGTGTAATTTTGTACGAGCTTGGGAGAGTTTTGTAGTTCTCGAGCGAGGATGCCACATCCTTTCTGAAGAGAACAACTCCCATATCTTTAGTATCCTGCTCATCTTGACATTTTTTACGTAAGGTTTCTAGTTTGTTAATTTCTTTGACAAACTCGCCCTTTCTAGAAGTAATCTGCTTTTTGGTTTCTTTAGTATGTGTTTTCAGATCTTCCGCTTTCTGATGAATGGCTGTTCGCATTTTTTCAATGAAATTTTTAACCTCCTTTACAACGTTTTCTGTAGCTTTTTCCATCTTTTCTAGATGTTCGACCAACTGCTGTTTTGCTTCCTCTCTTTGATTGATATGGCTCTGGATGAGGTATAAATCATTTCTCAACATAGCTCTTTTGTTTTCGAAAAATTCGGTAAAATCTCCAGTTCTGTGTCCAGTATGAGCAGTGGTCATACACTGGGAACATACTGCTTGATTGCAATCCTGACAACATAAATCCACAGTATAAGATTTATGTTTTGGACAAGAAGCTTTCTCCATTCCCTTCATGCTATCTTGAGCTGATTTTCGTTTCAAAGTTTTTTTCTTTTGAATACCTGATGTATTTGGTGTAGAAGGAGGATTATCCGGTGTTGTGGTGGTGGGGGTACTCTTAAGAATGTCAGGTTGAATGGAAGGTTCCTTCTTATTGTAAAAACAAATACACCAGTCGATTATTTTTCCGTGTTATCGAAGAATAAATAAGAAGAAAAATATGACCCACACTTGATGAAAAATATTGAAAACCAAATATATTATTGAATGATTGCACTACACTAGTATTTCATAGATAAAGTTTAGGAATTTTCCAGGTGAATTTCTTGAAAGATACATTTACTTTAGAGTAAAAGGCATAATATTTTCATATCCATAAATTAAGAATTCAAATTAATTGAAGTTGGAGAATGTTAATTAGATAAAAAATAATTATACTAGGTCAAAAACATCACTTATTTCTAAAAATGAAGAAACATACACTGATTGGATTCGTCTCCATCCCACGTGAAAGAGCTATGTATTTCACTTCATGATCTTTGAAGGCTTTCCCTTTGCTATGGAGCCCGGAACAGTTTTCACAGATGTTCCCACATTGTTTGCAATCAGAATGGAGTATACTAAGATTTGCACACATCCCACATCTAGTTAGACAATATGTAGAAGACATCACTTGCCTGAAAATTTAAGAAAAGACGTAAAATATCCTTAAAATTAGAATCTAAATTCTAGAGTAATTGCAAATTTAATGGCAATGAGGAAAATATGTTTTCCGTCTAAAATTATGACTATTATACATGTATGTATAAATATTTCTGATAAATGAACACTTTCTTCTGAAAGTGAAAAAAAGCCCCTTCAAGGTGCGATTTTTTTGGAACAGCAGGTCCAACTGGCAAGCTCACAAAATGACAACCCTTTCCGATTAAAATTTGTTTTACCTTTTGAATCTCATGTTTCTCTCTAATATAATTATAGGCAATACTACTTAAGAACACTTTTATCTGCAAGTGACCTTGAACTTGTCCTTGAGTCCAAGGTTATACATCATGTGATAAGCAATCTTTTTTTTCTATAAGCTTCCAATTCTTCTTCTTAGGGAGAAATGGTCAGGGCAGGAATGTACTCATCTACAAGTTTCCTTGAACTTGCTCAATCAAATGACCTTGGTTTAAGCTCATGGCTATTCCCTAAGTTAATAGCAATCTCTTTGTGAGGTATTACTTTCCAATTTTCCCCATAGGAAAGTTTTGGACAGGACACAAATTAGTTGCTTTACTTTTTCTGCGATTGATATTGAAATTCTCAAAACTCCTGACACCCTAATAGGTCAAAAGCAATCTTGAGTCTCTAATGTTTCTCCATTACAATATTGTGTTCAGAACACGATTACACGGACAGATAAATAGACAGACAGAAGATCAAACTGCTTACTTAAAATTACCAAGCTTTTTTGCAGGTGACGTAATTTTGTGCATATAGTGCACCCGTATTTGTGAAAATTTTGGAAAACGCTTAACTATAACATGATCATTACATCTCACACATACTCACCTTTTCTGAATGATAGATTAACCCAAGGAAACAACAAGAGGCCCATGAGCCACAAAGCTCACATGATTAACTTTGGCCCTGCTGTTCTTTACAATTTTTTTAATTTGTTCTTCCCCCTTGTAATACTTACTCTGGCACCATCCTACCCCCCGGGGGCTATGATTTGAACAATTTAGAATCTTCATTACCTCAGGAAGCTTCCATATAAATTTTATCTTTTCTTGCCCAGTGGTTATTTGGAAGACGATCATGAAAGATTTTTTCTATATATTTCAGTGTAAAACTTTGATTCCATATGGTGGCCCCACCCTACCCCGGGGTCATGATTTGTACACTGTTTTGTCTATGATGTATGTGCACTTCTATATTGAAATTTTGTCTATGTATTATGAACAGTATTTCAAAAGCAAATTAGAGCATTTAAATCATTTAGAATTGATATGGGAGAGAAAAATTCTCAATATCGAAGGATTTTTTAAAAGTTAAGTATATATATGTGATATAAAGAAGCTCAATCTATAGGTACACATAGATAAAATTTCCTATCATTGAAGATTGTTTACAAATCCATCTTGTTTTCCAGATTTTTTATATTGTTTTGTATATTGTTTGTATATATTAAAGGTTTCGGATAATTTAAAAGCCATCTTAATTCTTTTATTTTCAAATAAATCAAATGAAGGGTTATCTGGGTTAAATCTTTATGTATTCCTTCGGTCATGAAAAAAGATAATATTTGGTTGTCTTTTCTACAGAACACTTACTTCTTTCAGATGATTTAATGCGGACTTGACTGTACCCAATTTCTAGCTCACCTGAGCTGAAAGCTCAAGTGAGCTTTTTTGATCACCCGTTGTCCGTCGTCCATCCGTCCATCTGTCCGTCCGTCAGTAAGCTTTTCACATTTTGAACTATTTCTCAAGAAGCACTGGGAAAAATTTTGTCCAAAGTTAATACATACACTACTGGCATAAATAATTACTGATAGTGCCACTTTTTACTGATAATTTCTGATATTTACTGATATTATACTGTTGGTACTGAGAATTTCTGATATTTGCTGATATTTTTACTGTTGTTACTGATAATTGCTGTTGGTTCTGATAATTACTGATATTTACTGTCGTTTTTACTGTGGGTTCTGATAATTACTGATATTTGCTGAGAGTTACTGTTGGTACTGAGAATTGCTGATAATTACTGAGATTATTTCTCTGAACCCAGAAGATGTTAAAACAAGCCTAACATTGACTGGAAAGGGAGAGGAATTGGTTGAAAGGAAGACTGAGGAAAGAAAATTTGCTTAAAATCGTTAAGAATCGTTCTTATTTTAAAAAATGATTTCAGAAAAAAAAAAGAAGAAAAAGAAATGGTAGATAAAGCTTTTTTTCAAAGACGTTTTAAACTCTAGCTGTTTCAATAATAGTAATTATTTAAAAATAATCCTATAAAGCTTGTCCTCATTATTTTTCAATACAGTAGTTGTTACACTTTTAAAAACATTCTGTTGAAAGCAGTTTCAGAATTTCTTGACAAGCCAAAAGAAATTTAAATAAATAAATGCATTACTAAGTAATAAAAAATAAAACCATTAAATACAAAAAGAAAGAGAAAACACGAAAAAGAACAGGACGTTTTAAGAAGACATACGCATTACTGTAAATGATCGTTGATGGAAGAATTGCAGTAAAATTATTTGGACTTCGTTCCCTCTTTCTCGCTTCCCACGGGCGTATTAAACAATTTTTTAATTCAAATTCAAACAAGGAAAGAGGATGTTATTTATATCTGGAAGAAATATGCTTTCAGAAGTAAATTGAGAGAAAAAGACAATATTCCGATCCATTTTTTTTTCTTTTTGAAGATATTCAAGACTACTTACAAGTCTTGGAAAAGTAATAAATCAAATGATAGGTATTTATTTTCATTAATCACAACGGTGCCTGATGTAAATTGTTTTTAAAATAGAATGATAAATTCCCTTCCAATTAGTCCATTACATGCAACAGATGTGTGCTGGTCCCGGCATTATTCTTAAGCTACATGTGCGTCTATATTGAGTCTATACCTTGATATTAAGTAAATGTCTTAATAATAAAATATTTCTTAGATGTAATGTTAAATTATATTAATAAGTATTTTAAAAGCAAAAAAAAAAAAAAATGTATTCCCGTCACCCCGTGATAATAAATATTCATTTTAAGAATCTGCTTATTATATCCCCCCTTTTTTGCCTTAAAATATGGAATGCACAATAACATGTACCCAACCTCGAGGAAAATAAAAGGATTAGAAGCACAGAAATATGAAGCTTGACACTGCATTTTTTAATACATCCCGGACCCTTGTTTAGATAAAAATAAATTATTTCACCTATACCCCGAAATAGACTTTTACAAGGATAAGCATTTTTTTTTCATTCATTTATCTAATCTGTTTATATGTATTAAATTTATTTCTTCTGAAAAGAGGCATTCTTAATTATGAGTTTTACTCATCAAGCTCTGCCGGAAATATAAAAATAAAAGTATTTTTTTTCCTCTAGAATTTTAGTTTAAACGTTTCAGTTCACAAGCATCGTGTTGATAACATCATATCTGGATACATTTGAATTCTTTATTTTTCATGTAATTGTTTTCCTTCTGTTCTTTTTACGCAAATGAACAAATTTTTGAATCCACCTGTCACTTCGTCGTTGCGTAACTGGCTGTTTGTGATATCCGGCGAGTCCCGGCCGCCGAGTGCCCCTCTCTCTCACTCGCCGTGTCTACATGTATATATACATGTATATATACAGCAGGGACACCTATTGTGTTATTTTCTCGCTACCGTACTGTGTACATCACAGCGCTTCCGTTTGTGTACATTACCCTTGAAAGTCCTAGGACCCCGTCACTGTGTTTAACAGTAATCAGACAAAATATACTTGTAACATTTTGGATGAATAAAATATTTTTGTGGTAAATCGAACAGGATTTGGAACTTTTTCATGTAATTTTTAATATTCTGATGAATTTAATGAGCTAAGTGCAGCAGGAAAATAAGTCACAGTAACTGTTAATGAGGAATAGTTTGTCAATTAAGTTAGAAATATTCCATACTGATATCAAACATGCTGATTCTTTGTTAAATGACCTTGGCTTGTTTCAATTAACTCCAACAACACGGTAAACTTTGTATAAAAATATTTCAGATCTGTTGTTTTCCTCTAGTTTACAAATCAACTATACTTCCGTGTGCATTTTACTTGTATAGTATGTCCTCATTTACACATGTAAATGTCTACCCTTCTGCAAAAATCATAGAAATATTTTTCTACTGAAGAGACTCAGCCCTAAATAAGACACTTATTGATTATAGATCGCGCGTGCTCCCCCCTTTCAAAACTTATTTGCTACAAACTTCTGGTTAAGTTTCTTCGTGTAATTAGCCCGTTTTAAGATATCCAGCAATTAAAACATAAAATATTAGCATTAGAATTAATTTTATTTATTTTATGGATAATATATGTCTATGGGCATGTTCAGTCAAAATTATACATGAATTATGTTTATTTCTCTACGGATATGAAATAATTACGCTGAGTTTCTATGTGTATCGAACATTTATTTTTTCCATTGGTTGTTTTTACTAACTGTCCATGGAAAATCTCTATTTTTAAAAAAAATATTTGTTTCCGATGGAAATCTGTAATGCTGTAGAAAACGTTCAAACCATTACAATGTGTGTACGGACTGGTGGTGAATCGATCTTGACTTACTTTGATCCAATCTCTTATAATACTTGGGTGCGGCGGATCAAGATTTTTCTGAAACAAATAACTATAGTACATTGTATCGCATTGAGAATGAACTTTTTTTTCCATGTGTTCTTTAGATAACTTTTCACTCATATTGTGACGCCATTATTTGCCTGTTAAAAGCTGCGAATTTGGACCTGTACGCTGCACTTACATGTACATTTATATGTCCATAAATCGGTGGCAGGATCTTCCGTGTTCAACTTTTGACATGTACTCGGCGGCATTTTTTACCTACATAATGAAAAATCTTTCTCATGCAAATTCCGATCTGTACTCTGCACTTATAAGGAACAATGAGCAGAGAGAGATCTTTCTCGTGACTCTGCACTATTTGATCACTGAGGAATCTTTTTTGTGCTAGCATCTACTGTGACAGAAAACCGCGGTTTATACATTCCCATCCGAACCTTAAATGATCTCCATGTCCAACATCACCGCACTATATGTATATATTAAATATGAATCCAGTTTTTTTTTAAATTGGTTTTATTGAAACTGATTTGTTACGTCCTTTTTAGGCCTACTTCATCGATTGAAATAATACAAGTAAGTTCTTAAGAACTAAGAAACAGGATGAAATGTGTGTGGGGGAGGGGGGTGGGGGGTGGCAGGGACAATCTTCTTATGGAAAGAGAAATTAAATTCAAACATATGATTACTAAATAAATTTTCATGAGAAAAAATGCATACTTCCCCTGCTGTCACTCAAGTTACAAATTCTAAATACCTACAGCTTAAAATAAGTTATAAAAAATAAATTATTAATTTAAATTAATTTGTTTGATTTATTTAATCTATCCACCCCAATCTCAGTAATTATCAGCAATTCTCAGTACCAACAGTAACTCTCAGCAAATATCAGTAATTATCAAAACCCACAGTAAAAACGGCAGTAAATATCAGTAATTATCAGAACCAACAGCAATTATCAGTAACAACAGTAAAAATATCAGCAAATATCAGAAATTCTCAGTATTAACAGTATAATATCAGTAAATATCAGAAATTATCAGTAAAAAGTGGCACTATCAGTAATTATTTAGGCCAGTAGTGATAGCATCCTAGGGCGAAAGGGAGTTTAAGTTGTTAAAATGAAGGGCCAAGCCCCCTTTCATGGGGAAATATATAATATTCAATGAATTTCATAATGTAAAATTATGTTTACATTGTGCTACATTAAGTTACTAGTTGAGCATACATAATTGAGTTGTTCCAAACTCCAACCCCCTACTCTCTGATTTAACTGATGCAAGACTGAGGCAAAATGATATATGCTGAGAACAAACGGGTATCAATCATTAAGTTAAATACAAAAACATGTTGTATAAGTAGTGAGATGTCAAAGCAGAGAGTAATGTATAGAGAAAAAACCGGTGACCTATGCAAATTGAAGTTATTTATTATTTACATAACAAAACAAACAGATCTTAGTCGTAAGGCCTTGTTTAATGATTAAAAGTGAATCTATTTCATTCTCTGTAAAATTAAATACAACGAATAAGCAAAAGTATTTTATCTCATGTAAATAATTCAAAACAAAAGTTTGAAATGACTATTATACATGTAACGATTTCTTAGAAAACATTTTCTTCTGCAAGTGGGAAAAAAACCCTCCAAGGTGCCATTTATATGGAACAGCAGGTTAAATTAGCACAAAATGACTAACCCATTCCATTTCAAATTTGTTTTCGTTGTTGATTCTCATATTTCTAATACAGTTATGGATCATACTAAATACATACACTTTTTTCTGCACATGGCCTTGAGATTTAAATTGATTGTACATCATGTGATAGGCAACTTTCTTTGTTTCTATAAGCTAACAATATTTCTTCATAGCGAGAAATGACCAGGACAGGAATATTCTCCTCTGCAAGTTTCCTTGAACTTGCTTATATCTCAAAGACCTTTGTTCAAGCTCATGGCAATTCCTCATGTTAAAAACAATCTTTATGCGAAATTTCAACTTCTAATTTTTCTCGATAGGAAAGCTATAGACCGGGCAAAAATCATATGTTTACACTTTTTCTGCCATTGGCATTGAATTTACTGAATCCCTGAGAGACCATAATAGGTCATAATCAACTATGAGTCTTCAATGTTTCTCCATTACAAAAGTATGTTCCTATAATACCCAAACCTTATTTACAGGTGATATAATTCTGTGCATATTAATGTGCATCCGTCATTTGTGAAAATATTTGAAAACGTGATAAATACATCTCACACATTCTTACCTTTTCTGAATATTCGACTAACACACGGAAACAAAAATAGGGTACAGACAAGTCCTCATTAAATCCTCTGAAATAAGCAAATGACAAGAAATATTATCTTTTAATGGCCTAGGAATCCATCATATATTGATATATTGATTCATCAGAAAAAAAAAACTTAAAATATCTTTTAAATACTCAAAACTTCCAATATATACAAAACAATTTAAAAAAGCTAAAGAAAGAATATGTATTCGTAAAAAATCTTCACTGATAAGACATTTTGCCCATGCGTTATGAATAGTATTTAAAAACAATTTAGAGCATTAATTTTAGAATTGATATTGGAAATAGAAATTCTCGATATCGAAGGAATTTTATTTAAGCTAAAGTGATACATGTGTGTTATAAATAGAAGCTCAAATTATAGGTACAAAATAGGAGACAAATTCAAGCTAAAACATAATACATGACAGAATATTGATGCGAATTCGAATGACTTTAAATCTGTAGCTCGCTGGTGGAAATATGGAATAACAAGGGTTGAGATATTAGAAGCAGTCAAACGGAAAATTTAATGCACTGCTAAAGATTGCAGTAACAACATATGTGAATGAACTTTTACTCTGTGACCTAAAAATACCTAATGTGTGTTTGTGTTTTATTCGTATTTATTTGCAATGCCTTTAGAAATCGTGTCGAAGTTTCTTAAAGAATTATGTATTCAACAAATGAATGCATGAACAGACTTTTTTTTTCTTTTTTTTTTTTAAAGAAAGTAAAGTTACTACATCTAGTATGATAGTATACTGAATATCATTTTACAATAATAATCAATAAATTTGGTTTCAATATATGCTCGCATGTAATAAATTGTATTGTTCCAAACTCCAAACCCTCTACCCTGTGGTTTAATTCTAGGGTTAAATGATGCAAATAGATTGATGCAAGATAATACATGCTTAGAGAAAACGGACGTCAACAATTAACTTAAATAAAAAACCTCTTGTGTAATGAGTGCGAGATGGCAACACGGATTGTGGTAGTCTTCTGCTTAAGTATAGACAAAGAAAAACCTGATGACCAATGCAAAGTTATTTACATACAATACAAATTATCTTAGAAGTCAAACTTTCTGGTGCTGATTAAAAATTAATTTAATCAATTTTGTTTTTTTTTTTTAAAACAAATAAGCACGAGTATTTTATTTCATTTAAATACATTCAAAACGAAAGTCTTTCCCTCCTTGACGCCATCTTGAAAACAAAAATGCAAAGTTGTTGAAAGTTTTTGGAGAATATATTTGGTGATTGTATACATTGATAGCTAAAAATACCGCATACACTTTCCTCATGCACATACGATTGTATATCTATCACTAGAATATAAAGGTTATTGTACTCTCACGACGACGTACTGAAACCGGAAATATTTTATTATACGATGTGTGCATTACGCTTTATTTCCAACGTTTAATTATAGCCTAGCACGTTAGAGAAGAAAAATCCCTGTGACCCATGGAAAGTTATTTACAAATCAATACAAAAGGTCTCAGGCGTAAAACAATCTGGTGATGATTAGAAATGAATCTATTTTGTTCTCTGTAAAATTTAATATAACAAATAAGCACGAGTATTTTATCCAATGTAAATACATTAAAACGGAAGTCTATAACTTCTTGACGCCATCTTGATAAAAAAAAAAGCGGGCTCAAATTAATGTTTGCAAATAATACATCCTGAAAGTTTCTGAAAAAAGATTTGAAGAATAAATTTGTCTATAATTGCATATATTGATAGCTAAAAGTACCTCATACACCCACCTCGTGCACGTACGATTGTATATCTATCACTAGGATATAGAGGTCTACTTCCAAGTCTCTGAAACGGGAGATATGTGTCTCGCTTTATTGACTTGGGGAAAAAAGCTGAGTGGAATAGAGTAGAAAGTGGAGTGGAGTCTGTATGATAAAAGTATATGGAGTTTTGAAAAAAATTCAATTTTCTTGATATATACATGTACAATCTTTTCCGTGCAATTTCATTTGGATTTGGATAAAAAGAAAGAAACAAGAAACTAAAGAAAGAAATGCAGCAAAAAAAAAAAGAAAAAAGAATAAATAAACTAGATAGTTATTGCCTAGGCAATAACAGGTCTTCCGTTTTCTTGACTTCTTCGGAAAAAAACCACAATCTTGTCAATAAGATTACTCTAAATAATTAACAAAAGTTATCTCAAGGTTTCCAAAGATATGTAAATACAATAAAAAAAAACGGAATTACTTTCCTGTTTTCTTTATGTACTACGTCATGATTGAAAGTGCTCCAAATGAATAAAATGTTCATTCTACACCTAAATTATTCACAACTGATCCTCCCTAAAAGTTTCTATGAAAAACTACTCATGTTTGAGACAACTTCCGGTTTTTCGGTTGGGCCTTCCGGTGAAAATAAATTGCATTGTTACAGTCTATCTAACATCCGTATTAGCCAAACATTTCTGTAAAAAGAAAGTAAAACTTTAAAAATTTACTTTTTTCATCGCTTCCTGTCACGACCGGAAGTGACGGCAACGTACGATTTTTACATTATGCAGATGAACTGAGGACTCTCTATCAGTTCTGAAAGTTTTAGACTTCAGCAATGTACTGTTTCTGAGCAATTTGGTGAACAAAATCTCAATTTGAGGACAGAAAAACACGCGACCGGAAGTGCACATTTTTCTAAGATGGTTGACTTCACACTAGACAATTGCAGTCTCAATAACATAAATAAAAATCATTTCAAAAACTTTATCTATAAGCGATATTTTTGGGAAAGTTAAAAATCCCATTTACATAGTTTTGTCTTATAACCGGAAGTTGTCGTTTTTTGTTTCCAGTGAGACCAACACATAGAGAAACTGTGAAAGAGATTCAATTATATGATGCAAGATTTATTTCAAAAGAGGAAAGTTGAAATTCGTGATTTCTTTGATCACTTCCTGTGAAGACCGGAAGTGACGGCTGACGCTATTAACCCAAAGGGTTTTGCCTACTCATTAAGCTCTATTACTCATATAAGTTTGGTGTCTTAATCTCTTACCGTTTCTGAGATCTCACTTTGACAAGTTCTCATTTTGCGGACAGTAAAACACGCGACCGGAAGTGAATTTTACCAAGATATTTGACGTTACTCTAGACATTTGCAGTCTGAATAACATATCTAAAAATCATTTCAAATACTTCTTCTATAAGCGATATTTATGGGAAAGTAAAATGCTCAAATTATGTAGTTTTTCGCTTGTAACCGGAAGTTGACGTTTCTGTTTCCAGTGGGACCAACATATTTCGAAACTGCAAAACAGATGCAATTAAGTGATACAAGATTTAATTAAAATAAGAAAAGTTGAAATTTTCGATTTCTTTGATCACTTCCTGTGACGACCGGAAGTGACGGCTGACGGATTTAAACATGTTCCACAAACATACTTGTCATGATGTATAATCCCTGAAAGTTTGAGGTCTTAATCTTTTGCCGTTTTTGAGAAAACGTCCGGACATGAACTCTTTTGAAAAAACGGAAATCGGACATATCTGACGACCGGAAGTGAATTTTGCAAAATCCTTAAAAATGTTTTTAGTTTATTTTATTTGTCATAAACCCTGAAAGTTTCAAGAAAATCCATTGAGCCATCTCTGAGAAATCGCTTGAACAAAAAATGGGAAAATAATAATAATAATAATAATAATAAACAGTACAATCACTATAAGGTCTTCCGACTGAAACGGAAGACCTTAATAAATAAAAAAAAAATAAAAAAAAAGAAAAGAAAGAAAAATAAAGACCTTTAAGGTATATCACTCGTGAAATAAGTTATATGAAGGATTTTTTAAAAAGTATATTTTTAGATAAGTACTCATATAGCTTGACTCAAAATCGCAAAGAAAATGGGAATAAGTTTGCATCTTACCTAGCTTCGGTTCAATTAAATTGACCTTTTTGCACTTAAATTGTAACTCTTTGGTTAATTACTTTAATCTTTATCATATTTATCAGCTGTAATTATGGTAATAAATATAATCTTATTTACGTAAAATAGTTTGAATAATATTTGTCACTGAACAAATTAGGCAAATTAATGCGTATAATTTATTGTGTGACCTTTTTGCACGAAAACAGTATCGTATTTTGGGTATAAAAAAATCTACATATAGCCAATAAAAAAAATTTCTTGTATCAAACTTTTGATGACTTAAGTGAAGATTGGTTGGAGGTATCGTGTTGTTTAAAATAATGGAAGAAAAGATTTTGATCAGTGATGTAAATTTTGACATATTGGTAAAAATATGCGATTTTCAAGCAAAAAAGGTGTAAATTTTATCTTGACTTCTTTAATATATCTTCATTTCTTGGCAATGTATGTTGAGTGAATGTGTAGAATTTGTTTTAAATATATAAATTGCGACCTATATTTAATATTTCTAGCATAACATAACGGAAAATATTCTCTAAGTAAAATATACTAGTATGTGGGGCTTAAGGTATATCAGATACTAAATTTAACAAATGTGTAGATTTGAAGAACTTTCTTCTAAATATCCTTCCACAACAAGAAATTGTCCCTCACAAATCTTGCTTCTTTATGAATTTGTTAGCAGTTTTTGAATTGAATGTTGAATAATTTTTGTATGTTTAATTTAAATATGTTATAAAAATTGAATTGTAATAAATAGTTTTGAAGTTAAAGGTTCTGACTGAACTTTTCTTAAAAGCTGACGAGTAACATACCTTTAATGTCAAAAGTAGATCTCCTAAAAAGGGTAAAAACAAAGACTAGAGGTACTGTTTTTAAACAAATTGATTCTTTTTACATACAGACTCCTCTCCATTGACTATACTCCACTCCATTCCACTCAGCATGTTTCCCAAGTCCGCTTTATTTCTTGCTATTACTTCAAAAGATGTCTCAGAATTATGGTGATAAAATCTGGAAAAATAGTACGTCAACATGAAACAATTTATACATGTAAATTTATTATTATTAACCTGAAAATAGAAAGCTTGATAGTTTGTAAACTTCTTAAACGGCAACGTGTCAGGACCCCTTATCACGCCCATTCACAATAAACTTTGCCGAGGTAGTCCCAGACATAAGGGACAAGGCAATTTTTATCATCAGGGTGGGACCCGTGCAACTTCTGATGGGACAGGTACTTTTTTTTAGGTATTCATGAGGGTTGGACAAGCAGTACTAATTGTTTTCTCATGAATTCAGCAACCTTATTCTTTAGAAGTTTTTCCTTATCAAAAATAGATAGTGAAATAGACATGTAGCTAGATAAATGCGAAAGTTCGTCTTGACCTTAGAAGAAGACACTTGTTAACAAAAAAAAACATTATCACCGCATTGAAATTGAATAACTTAAGAAGCATTTTAAATAATTGACAATATTTCGCTCAAAGGGTTCAGTGTAGAATGGAAACATATTGCAGACGATACACACAGTACAGGGAGTTCGAGAGATGAATGGATGATGTAAATTTAATCAAACAGCTTTCTGAAAAAAGTTTAGAGCTAATTAATAAGTTACTGCTTGAAGGATCTTTGAAGTTGTCAGATTTTTTTTTTCATTGTTGCAATTGAGATTCCTTAAACAATTGTCACCAAGATCCGTAGGTCTAGTGATCTATTTCTCCTCATTCCTGGAGATATGATGCATTTATCTCCCTTACTCCATAGAACGCACTCTGAAAGAATGTTTTTTGGATATTTTGAAGCAGAATTTCATCTTTAATAAACTAAGCTTGGCAACCAATTTTGTATCCGTGGAGAGTATATGCACTGTTCTTCACAACACACAAAGAAGAGTTCGCCAGTTCGACAGGCCGTTATGTAATTATTGTAGAAGAAAGTTGCATTTTACCCTCCAAAGAATGACATAATTTACAGAAACTGTTATATATTAGGTTGATAATAAAATTTGCATCTTGTCAATTTGTGTACCAAATAAAGCCTAGATACCTGTCTACAAACTATTGTGTAGAAATTCATCTAGAAGCTGAGATGTAACACAGGGAAGTCCAAATGATATCAGCATCTAGGAGGTACTGGACAGCTCTGACACTCGATGGAGAAAACAATTCAGATGTAATTTATTGTTGTGATTTATGTAACTGGCTTCCTCTGCAGACACAAATTAGCCATGAAATTCCAATTAAACATGCATAATTATCCTCTTTTCATTAAATTACTCAGGAATTCAAAGGTGTATGATGAATTTGCATGATAAATGCAAGATTACAGATTTTTATTTCACCAAATGTACATAAAAAAATCAACATTTCAAATCTTAAAATATGAACCAGAATTTTTTGTTTAGCTTTAACACTTTTATTTGTGAAAAAATGCAACACAGAGACTAGTATCAGACCATTCTTCATGATTCTTGGGGTTTGGTGGGTGTACAAAAACTGCTGCTAAAATTTACAGGAAGTGACATACGAAGAACAAGCTTAAGGCACTTTATTAGCTGAATTATGACTATTCTGATATTTTAATTATGTAAATTATTAATTTTGCCAAATATCTTCATCACTTTAATTGATTAATGTTTCAGTATATTAATCTGCTTGACAAATAAGCATCACTGTCTGAGATTTAATCTAGAAGTGAGAGTCAACACCCACATATATGTGGTAAAATAACCAAAAAAAAATTCTCTGAAAAAACCCCTGAAAACAAGAATGTAAGCTGCGAAAGCCTGAATAAGTCCAGAGAACCATGACTGGCATACCATGGTGCTATGTGACAGTGTGTGGTACGTGTGGGATGCATGGTTAAAACTCAGAATAAGTATTCACTCTCAGGTCTTGGCAGTATTTGTGAATTTTCCTGGTCATAGGCTTCTCGCCCTTGAAATATTCTTAATAAATTTATTTGTGAATTGCTTTTATTAGACAAATTTAACTCATTTCATTATTTCTATTCCTCCACTGCAGTAATTCATGCATTACTTGAGGTGTATAAAATAAAAGTAAAACAAGTCTCTGTAAAAAATATCAATCTGTGGTAACATGTTTTACTACTTCACATTTTATCGCAGTTGTCGCTTGTGTAGAAAAATCATTTGCGAAATCTGAATTATTCTTTCCTTGAAAAATCAATCTAAAGTACTTTTATGACAAAGTCTGTAGATACTATAATTGACTGCCGTCAGCTGGTGCACATAGTCATCCGAAATTAAAAAAAACCCCAACATTTTCTGACTTCTTTCTACATGTAAGATGAAAAATCTTATTATCTTTATTTAGGCATAAAAAATCTTTAAAAAATCAGGTATTTGAATTCATGAAAAAAAAAAAAACATTTAGCAGGAAGTGTTAAACGTCACATTGACTGACCCCCCCCCCCCGAAAAAAAAGCAGGGTATCTACACGGCATTTAACGATTTTTTTTTACATCTGCACACAGGAATACCTTCGAAACCACATGTTTTCAATGTATTTGTAAACATCTTGAGTGCACCCCAGGAAGTGGCTATGCCCTCAAGGAAATAGTTCCTGTCAAAAACCCTTAACATTTTCAAAGTACATATAAAATCCAAAGCATATCTACCAAAAATGTAAAAAAAAAAAAAAAAAAAAAAAAAAGAATAAGGGAAAATATAAAATTTTTCACATTAAAAAAATGTTTTGATTATGTAAGGAACTACAATTGAATAAGATCATTTTGATTGGTTAATTACCGGTATGATTCCATATCATGAAAAGCAACGTACACGACTGCAATTATTCTATGTGAGCCTCTTATTCTATTTGTTTCTATCTGATCGATGTGTTTTTGTGTGTGCCATCAGACTACCATGTAAACATTCATTCAATTCACATGTAGCTGTTGATAGAAGTTCTGTATTACATTATTTTCCAATGCCCATGACCCCATAAGACATGAAAAAATATAAAAGTAAGCTTTGTTATAGACCTACTAGTATGTGAATTAGACTGGTAAAACATCTGAAGAACTATTGTTCTGGTGGGGAAATGCATTAATTAACACGTACCTTAAAATAGTTCATGGATTTGGAAAATGCTTTCTAAAAAAAATTCATAGACAGTTTTGGTCAAAAATATCGAATTTTACACCAGTGTTTAATCATTTAAACACATTGTTTTCCATTTCCATTTATTTTGCATACTGTTGTCTGCTATCCCTACGCATGCTTAAATATATATATCCTGTTAATTTCATTCAGTCTATGAATGTAAATAACTTTTAAATACATGGCACATTCTGACTATAATGCAGGCTTTCACAAACATTTTTGTGATGAACTGCTTAAGGTTCATTGACTTCTGATCAGAGAGAGATAAATCTTATTTAGAAAGTAGTTGACCAGGCAATCAGAAGTTAGAAGGTTATTCCCTATTCCCTAATAATTTTAATAACATCTATTATTTCCCATTGTATACAACGAGTAATGTTTACCAAATGAATGATATAAAATTGAATAACCTTTGTTAAATAAATAAAAGCTGCCTTTCATACACATTTAATTGAAATTGTTTGCATGTTTTATCAAAGTATAACATAAAATCACTTAAACGTTGATATTGATACATACTTCATTATTTCCCCATTATTTACAGTAACAAAGTGTCATACTCAGGAAATGGACCAAACAGACGTTTGAAACACAAGATCTCTTCTTATGACAGTAAGAAAGTTTTAGAAATATCATTTAATTTTTTCTTATTCTTTGAAAATTTACCCTTTCTCTCTCTCTCACACACACACACACACCCTCACACACACACACACACACACACACACAGAACGCTATATCGTAGTACATAATCAATATTTTTAAATTTTCAAAGATATTTTATGAAGATATACATTAATAGAGAGGGATAACTTTAAAAAGATAACTTATAGAGATATAGTATTTCTTAACTTCTCCACCGAGAGGTTGTTTAACTTGCATGATTTTCTATACGTGGAGAAAATTTTTTTCATTTTTCCACCTTGCTGGCTGATTTTTGAAGAAAATATTAAGTTCCATTCTTCATCATTTTTTAAGATTGTTATTACCAAGTTCTAGTTAAATTGAGTCACAGCATCCTGCTATATTTAATGATCTTGAGTAGAACTGGTTGTTGAGGCAGGCGTTTTGTTATCAACTTTCTGTTTCTTGCCTTTTCCTAATTTTTTGTTGGTGCAAATGATGGTTTAAACGCAATAGTTTTTTCTTCGATAATGGCAGGTAAAATGGTTCCAAAACTGTTGATAAAGTCTTGGTCTAATGCCGCTGGAATAAACGCTGGACTTGTAATTTTGCAAAAACTTGGGAGAGTTTTGTAGTTCTCGAGCGAGGACGCTGCATCCTTTCTGAAGAGAATTACTCCTGAATCTTTAGCATCTAGATCTTCTTGACATTTTTTACGTAAGGTTTCTAGTTTGTTAATTTCTTTGACAAACTCGCCCTTTCTAGAAGTAATCTGCCTTTTGGTTTCTTTAGTACGTGTTTTCAGATCTTCCGCTTTCTGGAGAATCGTTGCTCGCATTTTTTCAATGAAGTCTTTTACCTCCTTTACCACGTTTTCTGTAGCTTGTTCCATCTTTTCTAGGTCTTCGACCAACTGTTGTTTTGCTTCCTCTCTTTGATTGATATGGCTCTGAATCACATCTAAATCATTTTTTATCATAGCTCTTTTGTTTCCGAAAAATTCGGTAATATCTCCAATTCTGTGTCCAGTATGAGCAGTGGTCAGACACTGGGAACATATTGCTTGATTGCAATCCTGACAACATAAATCCACCGTATTAGATTTATGTTTTGGACAAGCAGCTTTTTCCATTCCTTTCATGCTATCTTGAGCTGATTTTCGTTTCACAGTTTTTTTCTTTTGAATGCCTGATGTATTTGGTGTAGAAGGAGGATTATCCGGTGTTGTGGTGGTGGGGGTACTCTCAAGAATATCAGGTTGAATGGAAGGTTCCTCCTTATTGTAAAAACAAATACACCAGTCGATTATTTTTCCGTGTTATCGAAGAATAAATAAGAAGAAAAATATGACCCACACTTGATGAAAAATATTGAAAACCAAATATATTATTGAATGATTGCACTCCACTAGTTTTTCATGGATAAAGTTATGGAATTTTCCAGGTGAATTTCTTGAAAGAACTTCCATTTACTTTAGAGTAAAAGGCATAATATTTTGATATCCATAAATTAAGAATTCAAATTAATTGAAGTTGGAGAATGTTAATTAGATAAGAACTAATTATACTAGGTCAAAAACACCACTTATTTCTAAAATTGAAGAAACATACACTGATTGGATTCGTCTCCATCCCACGTGAAAGAGCTATGTATTTCACTTCATGATCTTTGAAGGCTTTCCCTTTGCTATGGAGCCCGGAACAGTTTTCACAGATGTTCCCACATTGTTTGCAATCAGAATGGAGTATACTAAGATTTGCACACATCCCACATCTAGTTAGACAATATGTAGAAGACATCACTTGCCTGAAAATTTAAGAAAAGACGTAAAATATCCTTAAAATTAGAATCTAAATTCTAGAGTAATTGCAAATTTAATGGCAATGAGGAAAATATGTTTTCCGTCTAAAATTATGACTATTATACATGTATGTATAAATATTTCTGATAAATGAACATTTTCTTCTGAAAGTGAAAAAAACCCTTTAAGGTGCGATTTTCTTGGAACCGCAGGTCCAATTGGTAAGCTCACAAAATGCCAACCCTTTCCGATTAAAATTTGTTTTACCTTTTGAATCTCATGTTTCTCTCTAATATAATTATAGGCAATACTAGTTACAAACACTTTTATCTGCAAGTGACCTTGAACTTGTTCTTGAGTCCAAGGTTATACATCATGTGATAAGCAATCTTTTTTTTTCTATAAGCTTCCAATTCTTCTTCATAGGGAAAAATGGTCAGGCCAGGAATGTACTCATCTGCAAGTTTCCTTGAACTTGCTCAATTAAATGACCTTGGTTTAAGCTCATGGCTATTCCCTAAGTTAAAAGCAATCTCTTTGTGAGATATTACTTTCCAATTTTCCCCATAGGAAAGTTTTGGACAGGACACAAATTAGTTGTTTTACTTTTTATGCGATTGATATTGAAATTCTCAAAACTCCTGACACCCTAATAGGTCAAAAGCAATCTTTGAGTCTCTAATGTTTCTCAATTACAATATTGTGTTCAGGACACGATTACACGGACAGATAAACAGAAAGACATAAGATCAAACTGCTTACTTAAAAATACCAAGCTTTATTGCAAGTGACGTAATTTTGTGCGTATGGTGCACCCGTTATTTGTGAAAATTTTGGAAAACGCTTAACTATAACATGATTATTACATCTCACACATACTCACCTTTTCTGAATGATAGACGACAAGAGGCCCATGGGCCACAAAGCTCACATGATTAACTTTGGCCCTGCTGTTCTTTACCATTTTTTTTATTTGTTCTTCCCCCTTGTAATACTTACTCTGGCACCATCCTACCCCCCGGGGCTATGATTTGAACAATTTAGAATCTTCATTACCTCAGGAAGCTTCCATATAAATTTTATCTTTTCTTGCCCAGTGGTTATTTGGAAGACGATTATGAAAGATTTTTTCTATATATTTCAGTGTAAAACTTTGATTCCATATGGTGGCCCCACCCTACCCCCGGGGTCATGATTTGTACACTGTTTTGTCTATGATGTATGTGCACTTCTACATTGAAATTTTGTCTATGTATTATGAACAGTATTTCAAAAGCAAATTAGAGCATTTAAATCATTTAGAATTGATATGGGAGAGAAAAATTCTCAATATCGAAGGATTTTTTAAAAGCTAAGTATATATGTGTGATATAAAGAAGCTCAATCTATAGGTACACATAGATAAAATTTCCTATCATTGAAGATTGTTTACAAATCCATCTTGTTTTCCAGATTTTTTAAACTTTGTTTTGTATATTGTTTGTATATATTAAAGGTTTCAGATAATTTAAAAGCCATCTTAATTCTTTTATTTTCAAATAAATCAAATGAAGGGTTATCTGGATTAAATTTTTATGTATTCCTTCGGTCATGAAAAAAGATAATAGAACAATTACTTACTTCAGATGATTTAATGCAGACTTGACTGTACCCAATTTTTTGCTCACCTGAGCTGAAAGCTCAAGTGAGCTTTTTTGATCACCCGTTGTCCGTCGTCCATCCGTCCATCTGTCCGTCCGTCTGTTAACTTTTCACATTTTCAACTATTTCTCAAGAAGCACTGGGAAAAATTTTGTCCAAAGTTAATACATAGCATCCTAGGGCGAAAGGGAGTTTAAGTTGTTAAAATGAAGGGCCAAGCCCCCTTTCATGGGGAAGTATAATAATATTCAATGAATTTCATAATGTAAAATTATGTTTACATTGTGCTACATTAAGTTACTAGTTGAGCATACATAATTGTGTTGTTGCGAACTCCAACCCCCTACCCTCTGATTTAACTGATGCAAAAAGACTGAGGCAATATGATATATGCTGAGAACAAACGGGTATCAATCATTAACTTAATTACAAAAAAACCTGTTGTATAAGTAGTGAGATATCAAAGAAGAGAGTAATGTATAGAGAAAAAACCGGTGTCATTAATTGAAGTTATTTATTATTTACATAATAAAACAAACAGATCTTAGTCGTAAGGCCTTGTTTAATGATTAAAAGTGAATCTATTTCATTCTCTGTAAAATTGAATACAACAAATAAGCATAAGTATTTTATCTCATGTAAATAATTCAAAACTAAAGTTTGAAATGACTATTATACATGTAACAATTTCTTAGAAAAAGAACATTTTCTTCTGCAAGTGGGAACAAACCCTCCAAGGTGCCATTTATATGAAACAGCAGGTTTAATTAGCACAAAATGACTAACCCATTCCATTTCAAATTTGTTTTCGTTGTTGATTCTCATATTTCTAATACAGTTATGGATCATACTAAATACATACACTTTTTTCTGCACATGGCCTTTAGCTTTAAAAATGATTGTACATCATGTGATAAGCAACTTTCTTTGTTTCTATAAGCTTACAGTATTTCTTCATAGCGAGAAATGGCCAGAACAGGAATATTCTCCTCTGCAAGTTTCCTTGAACTTGCTTATATCTCAAAGACCTTTGTTCAAGCTCATGGCAATTCCTCATGTTAAAAGCAATCTTTATGTGAAATTTCAACTTCCAATTTTTCTCGATAGGAAAGCTATAGACCGGGCAAAAATCATATGTTTACACTTTTTCTGCCATTGACATTGAATTTACTGAATCCCTGAGAGACCATAATAGATCATAACCAACTATGAGTCTTCAGTGTTTCTCAATTACAAAAGTATGTTCCTGTAATACACAAATCTTGTTTACAGGTGATATAATTCTGTGCATATTAATGTGCATCCGTCATTTGTGAAAATATTTGAAAACGTGATAAATACATCTCACACATTCTTACCTTTTCTGAATATTCGACTAACACATGGAAACAAAAATATTGTAGAGACAAGTCCGCATTAAATCCTCTGAAATAAGCAAATGACAAGAAATATTATCTTTTAATGACCAAGGAATCCATCATATATTGATATATTGATAAAAAATGTCTTTTAAATACTCAAAACTTCCAATATATACAAAACAATTTGAAAAAGCTAAAGAAAGAATATGGATTCGTAAAAAAATCTTCACTGATAAGAAATTTTGCCTATGCGTTATGAATAGTATTTAAAAAACAATTTAGAGCATTAATTTTAGAATTGATATTGGAAATAGAAGTTCTCGATATCGAAGGAATTTTATTTAAGCTAAAGTGATACATGTGTGTTATATATAGAAGCTCAATTTATAGGTACAAAATAGAAGAAAAATTTAAGCTAAAACATAATACATGACAGAATATTGATGCGAAAACGGATGACTTTAAATCTGTAGCTCGCTGGTGGAATATGGAATAACAAGGGTTGAGATTTTAGAAGCAGTCAAACGGAAAACTTAATGCACTGCTAAAGATTGCAGTAACAACATATTTGAATGAACTTTTACTCTGTGACCTGAAAGTACCTTATGTGTGTTTGTGTTTTATTCATATTTATTTGCAATGCCTTTAGAAATCGGGTCGAAGTTTCTTAAAGAATTATATATCAACAATGCATAAACACAATCTTTTTTTCTTTCTTTTTTTTTTTACGAAAGTAAGGTTACTACATCTAGTATGATAGTATACTGAATATTATTTTACAATAATAATCAATAAATTTGGTTTCAATATATACTCGCATGTAATAAATTGTATTGTTCCAAACTCCTAACCCTCTACCCTGTGGTTTAATTCTAGGGTTACATGATGCAAATAAATTGATGCAATATGATATATGCTTAGATGGCAATATGATATATGCTTAAAACGGACGTCACCCATTAACTTAAATACAAAACATCTTGTGTAATGAGTGCGAAATGGCAACACGGATTGTGATAGTCTTCTGCTTAATGTATAGACAAAGAAAAACCTGATGACAAAGTTTTTTTTACATACAATACAAAAGTATCTTAGAAGTCAAACTTCCTGGTGATGATTTAAAATGAATTAATCAATTTTGTTCTCTTTTTTTTTTATAACAAATAAGCACGAGTATTTTATTTTATCTAAATACATTCAAAACGAATGTCATTCTCTCCTTGACGCCATCTTGAAAAAAATGCAAAGTTGCTGCAAATTTTGGAGAATTGATTTGGTGATTGCATACATTGATAGCTAAAAATACCGCATACACTCTCCTCATGCACATACGATTGTATATCTATCACTAGAATGTAAAGGTTATTATACTCTCACGACAACGTCCACTGAAACTGGAAATGTTTTATTACTTAGTATACGATGTGTGCATTACGCTTTATTTCCAACGTTTAATTATAGCCTAGCACGCTAGAGAAGAAAAATCCCTGTGACCCATGGAAAGTTATTTACAAATCAATACAAAAGGTCTCAGGTGTAAAACAATCTGGTGATGATTAAAAGTGAATCTATTTTGTTCTCTGTAAAATTCAATATAACAAATAAGCAGGAGTATTTTATCCAATGTAAATACATTAAAACGGAAGTCTGTAACTTCTTGACGCCATCTTGATAAAAAAAAAAAAAAAAAAAAAAAAAAAAAAAAAAAAAAAGCGGGCTCAAATTAATGTTTGCAAATAATACATCCTGAAAGTTTCTGAAAAAAGATTTGAAGAATAAATTTGTCTATAATTGCATATATTGATAGCTAAAAGTACCTCATACACCCACCTCGTGCACGTAGGATTGTATATCTATCACTAGGATATAGAGGACTACTTCCAAGTCTCTGAAACGGGAGATATGTGTCTCGCTTTATTGACTTGGGGAAAAAAGCTGATTGGAATAGAGTAGTTAGTGGAGTGGAGTCTGTATGATAAAAGTATATGGAGTTTTGAAAAAAATTCAATTTTCTTGATATATACATGTACAATCTTTTCCGTGCAATTTCATTTGGATTTGGATAAAAAGAAAGAAACTAAAGAAAGAAATGCAGCAAAAATAAATAAATAAATAAATAAATAAAATAAATAAATAAAAAAAAAAGGAAAGAAAGAAAAATAAAGACCTTTAAGGTATATCACTCGTGAAATAAGTTATATGAAGGATTTTTTTAAAGTATATTTTTAGATAAGTATTCATATAGCTTGACTCAAAATCGCAAAGAAAATGGGAATAAGTTTGCATCTTACCTAGCTTCGGTTCAATTAAATTGACCTTTTTGCACTTAAATTGTAACTCTTTAGTTAATTACTTTATCTTATTTACGTAAAATAGTTTGAATAATATTTGTCACTGAACAAATTAGGCAAATTAATGCGTATAATTTATTGTGTGACCTTTTTGCACGAAAACAGTATCGTATTTTGGGTATAAAAAAATCTACATATAGCCAATAAAAAAATTTCTTGTATCAAACTTTTTATGATTCAAAATGAACTTTGCTGAGGTAGTCCCAGACATAAGGGACAAGGAAATTTTTATCATCATGATGGGACCTGTTCAAAATCTGATGGGACAGGTACTTTTTTAGATATTCATTAATTGAATCGGGGAAAACTACAGAGACTAGATGTATAGTCTGTATTGTGAGTTGGATCTCTCTGAATTAATATAATCCAGGGTTAATTGTAAATTATATAAAAAAGAGAAAATATTCATTGAAATATATTGCAAAAAATTATTTAAATCAGTTGAATCTGATTCGTCGAGGAAGACAATTTGATACAAACACTGTTACAGTACCCTCTGAATCGTGAAAACACACTTTCCAGTGTGACACAGCGTAGCAGAAGTCAACATTGCTTGGTAACGGATTATATTCCAAAAGATTGTTGTCAGCTGGAATTCTATGCGCAAACTTTTCACCGTTAACTTGTATATAACATTCATTTTATATCATTCTCAACCACTCATATATCTAATTTTTTGTGGGTAACTATACGTTAAACTTTTAACAATGATTCACTTAAATTGAATCATTCACTTAAATTGTTATCTTTGAATCTAGGGTAGAGGACTGGGCTTTAATTCCAATCTATAATTAGTTTCACCAATATTAGAACAAATACAAGCTTATTAATTGCACGGAAAGCTATACCAATCCTACTAACTATGTGATGAAATGTATCTAGATATTCACTGTTGTAAACATATTATGCCAGCTGTAATTCTATGTTCTTTTTCTGCAGATGAAAGCAAAAACAGTTACTTTTGTAAGCAAATTTGAGGAAGAAATGTGTACAATGACAGGAATCTGTTGAAATTTTTAGGTACTGTTACAATTCCTTGACTCCACAACATATTTAGATCTTGTTTCTGTAGTGTTTCCCAGGAAAAGGTGAAATGAAGTTTTTTTTTACACGAAATGAGAAACAACAATGAAATGAGGACCAGGAAAAATAATTAATGACCTTCATATATCAATTAACAGGGCAGTTTTTCACTTTAATTTAAATAAAAAAGATGTTGTGATTAAGTTTCATATTTGTCTGTTTGGGATAAAACCAAATTCAATTGTTGTGATTAAGTCACATGTTTGTCTGTTTGGGATATGAGTGCGGTCATATGTCTGGGCCTACAGTTGTGAAGTTAGTGTATATCCTAATTAATCTTTGTCATTAAAAAAAATTAAGTGATCCTCTGTATGACATATGAAGGTCATTAGGCTGTATCTCTTTCTTTTGTTTCTTGTTTTATTCTTTTCACACAAATCCAAAATGATGTAGCAAAGGAGAGATTGAATGTAAATGGAACCATTTTTTTTTTTATAAACTTTATATTTTCTGTTACACTACAGATTCCACTCCATGACTTCAGATAACTCCACTCTACTCCACTTAGATTTTAACCCCAAGCCGTGTCACGCTTTATTTCCTGCTATTAACATAGCACACAGAAACGATTGTTGAAAAAGCTTGAATCTGGTGATAAAATCTGAAAAAAAATACCTTTCGTCCTTCAGCATACAACAATTTTATAAATCTACCAGCCGTAAATTAAATAAGATGCTTGATTGTTTGTAAAATGCTGCAAGTTATCATGTTCATTCAGTTTTAAATTTTTTGCATAAAAGGGAATTATAATTTTAATTGTATGAATGTTTATTTTTTTTCCTGTACTTAGCCATTGTATATGTTATTGGAAGAGTAAGGTCACCGGTGTAAAAATTCAATTTTTAGCGCTTGGGCGGGATTTCACTTAGTTGAAAGATATAGCAGACGACAAACACACAGTACGAGTTCGAGAGAAAAATGGGTAATTTAAATTTAATCGATTTTCTGAAAAAAGCACAGAGCTAATTCATAAAATACTGTTTATTGTTTACTTTTTTTACGAAATATACACGACTGCCATTATTCTATGCGAGACTCTTTCTCTGTTTATCTGTCTGTCACTCTCTCTCTCTCTCATATACATATGAGTGTGTGAGGGTGTGTGTATACATGTGTGCATGTGCATCAGACTGCCATATTAACATGCTCTATACTGTGTATTTCTTTAAGACACATGTATCTGTACATAGAATGTCTGTGTATTACACTATTTTGAAATACCCATGGCCCCAAAAGACACAAAACATAAAAAATCTAAAAAGTTAGCTTTGCTGTATGTGAATTAGAATGGTAAAAACATCTGAAGAATCATTGTTTTGATGGGGACAAGCCGTAGTAAAATGCGTCACTTAACACTTACCTTGAAACAGTTTATGGATTATGGAAATGCTTTTTAAAAAGAATTCATAGACAAAGATCACATTTTGCATCAGGGTGCATTTTTGACACCTTGTTCCCCCACATTTTGATGCATTTAGCATACTGTTGTCTGTGATCCCTACGCATGCCTTAATATATTATGTAAAACCTGTTTATTTCATTCAGGCTATGAATGTACATTACTCTAAAACAAATGTCACATTTTGACTATAATGGCATGCTTTCAAAAACATTTTTATAATAAGCTGCTGACTTCTGATCTGATCAGAGAGAGAGATAAATCTCATTTAGAAAGTAGTTGAATATAATTTCTAATTGACTTAATACAACTAGAAATGTTCATCACACGCATGAGAAAAAAAATGATATTTTAAACAAGAGGTCGAGGGGCAACATCGCTCACCTGGGCACTTTGGCTAGGAAAAAGCAGAAAACAGTTCATTATTGAAAAGTTTAAATATAAAAGTGGTGGGGGGTTGATTTGAACAAGCTTTAATCGAAACTTCCTTAGGATGCTTTTGAATTAATATGACACATAATGGCTTTGCTGTTCATAAGATGAAAATTTTTATTGATATATCCTTTATATTCCCTTGTATCACAGGATGAAATTACACCATTCAGTCGACGGAATGGTAACTGAATGCCCACTGAATGGCCACTGAGAGGTCACTGAAAAGTTCCTTTCCCGTGACTTTTCCGTGGTCTTTCAGTTACCATTCAGTCGACTGAATGGCAGATATTCAGTCGACTGAATGGCAGATACATTTCAGTGGCCTTTCAGTTATCTTTCAGTTGTATCTTGTTATTGAATAATCGGCTTATTTTTTAACTTAGAATTTTTATTCCACGTTTTCTTATTGTAATGTTATTAAATTAATCTATTTTCGAATAAAAAATTTTTTAAAAAAAGTGAATATAAGAAAAAAAAATCATGCCCGAAGCCGGTGTAAAGACGAATAATGACCCCCGTAGAATAATGACCGTGGGTCATTTTTCGACGTCGAAAAATGACCCTTTTGCCCGTAGAAAAAGTAGCATCACCCTTAAAATCTGCATACCCTACGTGAAGAAAAATAACCCCCGTAGAATAATGACCTGTGACGGTACATATTGTCGTTTTGTACATATTGTCGTCGGCGACAATATGTACCTACCCTCACTGCATATATCGTCGTCCATCGGTACATATTGTCGCCGGCGACGATATGTACCGAGACGAGCCTTATTTTCCTCCTGCATAATGGACGACAAAATGTACAGTCAACCACCAGTACATATTGTCGTCGGCGACAATATGTGCAGTCAAGGTCGGCATATATTGTCGTCGATATATTGTTTTGACGAATATTTACTTGAGAAAAGAAAGAGACATTGACAAACACACTCACACGGACGGAGGGGACAGACAGCATTACTGGCAATACTGTAGGGAGAAACTTTTTTGGTCATAAAATTGTGTCCAGGATTAATATAATTATCAATATATGACCATGATTTGTCAAAATACCGTAATTCTTCCGACATCTGATGCATCAGCGTTTTCTTTTTTCTTGTAATATATACTTAGAGATTGCATACATGTATTAGTTTTTTTGTTCAGTAGAAATGATTATTTGGAAATTATTTTTTGTGTTATTCTGATATACAATCATATGCCAATATAATTGGAGTTGGGGTTGACATTTTTAGATCACCTGAACTGGAAATTCAAGTTCAGAGCTTTTCTGATCACATTTTGTCTGACCGTCCCAGTGTCTGTAAACTTTTCACAATTTCAGCTTCTTCTCAAGAACTACTGAGTCAATTTAAACCAAACTTGCCAAAAAGCACCCGTGGATAAAGGGGATTAAAGTTTTTTTTCAAATAAAGGGCCATGCCCTCTTTCAAGGGGAGTAGTTTAGAATTGGTGAAAATTTAGTGACATCTTTTAAAAGTTTTCTCAAGAACCACTGTGTCAGAAAATTTGAAACTTACGTGAAAGCTTCATTATGAAGTGTTGATACAGTTTTACATGTATTAAGGTCAGTCCCTAGGGGGAGGGTGTGGCTACAATAGGTGAGGTTTTTCATAGAATATTTAGAAAAAAATCTTTCAAAATCTTTTTTCAAGAACGACTGGGTCAGAAGAGATTATACTTATGTGAAAGCGTCATTACATAGCGTACGTTCAATTTTGAGGTGCTGGCACGAAAAAGATCCCCCACTGCTCAATGAACCTGATTGCCAAGTACAGGTCTAAATTTGCAGCCCTCCACCGGCAAGTGGTAACGTCTACATACGAATGAACAACAATCAAACAAACAAAAACAAAATCAATTTTGTTCAAATCATGACCTCAGGGGTAGGGTGGGGCCACAATGGGTGATCAAAGTTTTACACAGGAATATATACAAAAATATCTTTAAAAATCTTCTCAAAATCCAGATAGATGTAGCACTAGTGCACCCCCGCCCGTTGGTTTGATTTTTTTTTGCTTTGGTAAATTCTGTTTAACTTGTATGTATTCTCAATTTAGTCCACCGGTAAAATGTCATAATTAAAAAAAATACTTAACATATACAGCCACACAACTTTACATACAAATGACTTTTATTTTGCTTGTTAAAAAAAAAAATCTAAACCGCACCCCCTCCCCTCCGTTCTGAAATTTCTGGATCCACCACTGAGGAACAACAGTAGCTCTGTGAGATGTTTATATGGAAACATCCTCAGGTAGCGCAGATTCAAGTATTTTTAAATCAAATCGGGCCAAGGGAGGGGCCACGATGGGCGATCAAATTTTTACATTGGAATATATGGGAAAATTCTTTATCTTCTCAAAAACAGCAAAGCAATGATCAGTCATATTTATATGGAGCATTGCAGTGCATTGTCATGCAACATGTTCTGATGGACGACAATATGCGCAGTGAGGTTAGGTACACATTGTCGCCGGCGACAATATGAACAAGACGACAAAATGTACCGTCACAATCACACTGCATGGAATAGCATGCAAGACCGTCAGTGTGATTTACACACCAGTTACATTCACAAAATTTCCAAAAAAAAAAAAAAAAACAACAAAAGAGATCTTTAAGCAACAAAATCTGTGGGGCGACATAATGAACAGTGAGGGTGAGGCACATAATGTCGCCAGCGACAATATGTACATGTGTAACTTTTCAGCAGGCGACAATATGTACCAATGGACGACAATATGTGCAGTGAGGGTAGGTACATATTGTCGCCGACGACAGTATGTACAAAACGACAATATGTTCCGTCACATGACCCCTGGTAGATTTTATTAGGAATATTTTTCTTTAGATTAAAATGATATCACCTATTAACTTGGTAATATCACATATTCAAATTCATGATATCACCTATTCAGCTTTTGAATTGGTGATATCACCTATTTGAAAAGGTGATATCACCTATTCAAATTAAGTATGAAATAAAAACTGCTCTCAAGACTTATAGTGCATATATTTACTCTATACAGGAAGTAAAAAGTTCAGTCTCTTTTCAACAGATAATTATAACAGAGAGAAAGTATCAATAAAATAGCAAAACTGACTATAAGTGAATTTTTATAACTTCACAGGAATTAAAAACAAGTGGTGTTTTATTAAATGTCTTGGACTATAACATGGGGGAAAAGGGCAGCTCGAATTTGCTTAAGGTCAATAGAAATCTAGATTTTCATATGCAAACCAGGTTGTTTTGTGGTCTTCTATGTGTACATGTACATTGTAACTTAAAAATATGTGTCCCCTCTCCTCTTTTGCCAAAAAATGATCTTACAGAAAAACTACAGTTTATTTGATCAATGCAATGTCAAAATAGTAGAGGTTATGCCTCAAATTAAGTATAAAAAATCCAAAGAAACTTTATAATTTATTTGAACAAGTTTGTGCAAGAGTAATTAAATCAATTTCAACTATTTCTAATTACTGCTGAGGAAATAGAATTGTTCTTTGATTTGAAAGCAATTAGAAAGTTCATCCTTTACTTTGCATCGAAGCTAGATTTTCTTGAGGAAGGAAGCATTCATTTTTAAGGCGACACTTTGACGCACAAACGGGAAAATTGACAAATATTGAATTTTTCCATGACCAGTGCAAATTTTGTTCAATTTCTGAAAGTATTAGGTTTCAGGAAATTACAGGTTTCGGAACCTAAAAAATCTACTTTAAGGGAGAAAAATAATTTTTGTATGGCCCAAACGAATATTGCTTTACTTCTTCTTCCTTAAAGTACGGCTACGCAGAAAAGTTGAAGTTATCATGGTCTCAAGTACCAAAAAATGAATGTCAATAGTCCAAGATTTTTATACAATCTTCAAAAAAGATTATTAGAACATATTTCTCACCTTTGCATGCTCCAATTGAATATTGTTTACAACGAAACGGTAGAAACATACAACCTTTGTTTTTCCGACACTTATATTGTGCTGTCTCTTGTTTTGCAGTATAGTTTAGTTGTCATATATTCGCTATACTCATTATTTACATAAATCTTTTGCTTTATGATACAGATATCGTAAAGTAAACACATGATTTTGACTCTTATGTAACTTTAATGTTATAAGAAATGCAAATAGGTGATATCATCAAATCATATTGGTGATATCACCAATTCAAAACAAAATGGTGATATCACCTCTTCGAATAGGTGATATCTCCTATTGGAATTGATGATATCACCTATTCAACTCAAATAGGTGATATCACCTATTCATTTCCAATAGTTGATATCACCAATTTGAAAAAGTGATATCACCTATTCGAATAAGTGATATAACCTGTTCGAATAAAGGTGATAGCACCCATTCAAATTGAATGAGTTATATCACCTTTCAAACAGGTTATATCACAAAGTCGAATAGGTGATATCACTAAATAGCAATAAATACCAATGCGGTGCCTCATACAATAGACATACACAATAATCATACATTTTGATCATATAATGGCAGTTTGTACCTGTGCACATTAGTTCACTCGTTCGTTGTGAGAAAAAAATGTCCAATCGTTTCCACGGCAAAGGAAACAGTTTTAAAAATATTAAATGTAAATGCA